TTTGCTATGTGTACTTGTTGAAAACGAAAGACGAGGCTCTAGACTATTTTAAAATTTATAAGGCAGAAGTTGAAAATCAACTTGACAGAAAGATAAAAAGACTTAGGTCCGATCGTGGTGGAGAGTTTTTCTCAAACGAGTTTGACTTATTCTGTGAAGAACATGGCATCATACATGAGAGGACGCCTCCCTATTCTCCCGAGTCTAATGGGATTGCTGAAAGGAAGAACCGCACACTGACTGACTTGGTGAATGCCATGTTGGACACTGCGGGACTACCTAAGGCGTGGTGAGGGGAGGCATTGTTGATCTCGAATCATGTGTTAAACAGAGTTCCTAACAGAAATAAGGACGAAACCCCATATGAGATATGGATTGGGAGAAAACCATCACTTTCTTATTTGCGCACATGGGGGTGCTTGGCGAAAGTCAATGTACCAGTAACGAAGAAGCGCAAACTGGGACCTAAGACTGTGGACTGTGTCTTTCTGGGATATGCTCATCACAGCATTGCCTATAGATTTTTAATAGTCAAATCTGAGGTACCTGACATGCATGTTGGTACAATTATGGAGTCTCGTGATGCTACCTTCTTTGAAAGCTTTTTCCCAATGAAGGATACACATAGTAGTTCGAGCCAACCATCTGAAATAATTCCCGGTTCAATCACACCACCAGAACAAACTGAACATACACATGAACATGTCACTAAGGAGGATGACAGTGAAGCTCCTCGAAGGAGTAAGAGACAAAGGACGGCTAAGTCCTTTGGTGATGATTTCACTGTGTACCTCGTGGATGACACTCCTAAGTCAATTTCAGAAGCATATGCATCTCCTGATGCAAACTACTGGAAGGAGGCTGTCCGTAGTGAAATGGATTCCATTATCGCTAACGGGACTTGGGAGGTGACAGAGCGACCCTATGGGTGTAAACCTGTGGGATGCAAGTGGGTGTTCAAGAAGAAGCTTAGACCTGACGGTACTATTGAAAAGTACAAGGCTCGGCTTGTCGCTAAGGGCTACACTCAGAAAGAAGGCGAAGATTTCTTTGACACTTACTCACCTGTTGCTAGATTGACCACAATTCGTGTGCTACTTTCCCTAGCAGCCTCACATGGTCTTCTCGTTCATCAAATGGACGTTAAGACAGCTTTTCTTAATGGAGAGCTGGATGAGGAGATCTATATGGATCAGCCTGATGGGTTTGTAGTTGAAGGTCAAGAAGGCAAGGTGTGCAAATTGTTGAAGTCTTTGTATGGTCTGAAACAAGCTCCTAAGCAATGGCATGAGAAATTTGACAAGACATTGACATCTGCAGGCTTCGCAGTCAATGAGGCAGATAAATGTGTGTACTATCGCCATGGTGGGGGTGAGGGAGTTATTTTATGCTTGTATGTTGATGACATACTGATATTTGGGACAAACCTTGAGGTGATAAATGAGGTTAAATCATTTTTGTCTCAAAATTTTGATATGAAGGATTTGGGAGTAGCTGATGTTATCTTAAACATTAAGCTAATTAGAGGTGAGAATGTGATTACACTCTTGCAGTCCCATTATGTGGAGAAGATCTTGAATCGCTTTGGCTACATTGATAGTAAGCCTTCTCCAACACCTTATGATCCTAGCTTGTTGCTTCGCAAGAACAAGAGAATTGCTAGGAATCAACTGGAATACTCCCAAATCATTGGCTCGTTGATGTACCTGGCTAGTGCAACTAGGCCTGATATCTCCTTTGCTGTGAGCAAGTTGAGCCGATTTACCTCTAATCCGGGAGATGATCACTGGCGCGCGCTTGAGCGAGTAATGCGCTATCTGAAAGGTACTGTGGAATTGGGGCTTCACTATACTGGGTATCCTGCAGTACTGGAGGGTTATAGTGATTCTAACTGGATCTCTGATGTGGATGAGATCAAAGCCACTAGTGGATATGTCTTCACACTGGGTGGTGGTGCTGTTTCATGAAGATCTTGCAAACAGACCATTTTGACGAGGTCAACTATGGAAGCAGAGCTGACGGCACTGGATACTGCTACTGTTGAGGCAGAATGGCTGCATGATCTATTAATGGATCTGCCTATTGTTGAAAAACCGGTGCCGGCTATCCTTATGAACTGTGACAATCAAACGGTAATTGTCAAAGTGAATAGTTCGAAGGATAATATGAAATCGTCTAGACATGTGAAAAGACGATTGAAGTTTGTCAGGAAATTAAGAAACTCTGGAGTTATAACGTTGGATTACATCCAAACAGCTAGAAACCTGGCAGATCCCTTCACGAAGGGACTATCACGAAATGTGATAGACAATGCATCGAAGGAGATGGGTTTGAGACCCATGTGAGTTATACTATGGTGGTAACCCAGTCTATGTGATCGGAGATCCCGTGAATTGGAATCTGGGAAGAACAAACCATAAGTAAATTAGAGGAGAGTACCAATCTATACCCTCTCTAAGTGAAGATGCATGTACTCTCGTGAACTGCAAGGCAGGTTGACTATGCCTTAATGAGTTCTGTTGGCTTTAATTGGCGAAGATGCTGTCCTGCAGAGCATTCTTGAAAGAACTCACCTTTGTGAGCTTGATTGTTGGTCGCAGTCTATGGAGATTTTGGGTGAATCTTCTAGGAAGCTTACTAAAGACCTAGGAGTATGACTTATACGCTCCACCCGAGGGGTAGTCTACAGACGGTCTAGTACCAGATAAGACTCTGAGTGAAACTTGCTTGCACAAGACTTGCAATTCAAGGCTTAGTCTATTGTTCAAGTTGTGAGTAAGTGTAGCTTGGAGTTCTAGGTGGATGTTCAACCTTAATCGGTCTCCATCGAACTGCTGGTATATAAACAGTACATTGGAAAAGGCAAATCTCAGTGGGATTTTGAGATTTGGTGGGGGATTGTTGGAATTAATGAATGGGCCTTAGCCCACTCGAAGATTAATTCTTTGGAAAATCACAAAAGCCCACCTCATGGGATGGCATGCATGTGGAGTTTAGTACCACCTTACTTATTCTAGGAAAGGGAGACCTCCTTAAAAGGGAGGATGCCCTCCTAGCCACTTGAAGCATGTGTGGTGGAGAGAAGAGGGGGAACACACGCGCGCGCTCGCTCGCCTGGCCTGGCCTGGCAGGGCAGGCGGCGCTCGTGCACGACGTACGCGTCGAATGGTCCGTCAAAATTGGTTCCTCACCTTGCGCAGATGCAGTCTCCTTTTGCAGTTTTGTTTTGCTGCAAATTCGGATTCGTTTTTGTTTTGGAAACATTTCGAAAAATCCGGTGCGTGCAAACGGCGTGGAGTCCGGATAAGTTACGCGCGACTTATCCGGTTCGGTTACGCGCAGTGGAGATCGTTCGGGCGCCCTGATCAAGCGACCCTTCTCTATATAAACCGAGCCGCCGCCTTCACGCAACACACGCGAAATCAATCTAGGGTTTGCCTCCTACTCTGTGCTACGCCGTCGCTCGTAGGTTACTCCATCCCGCTCGCTGGCGTGCACCTGCGATCGGGAGAGCAGGTCTCCGAAACCTCTGCCTTCGACGTCCTGCACCGGGAGAAGGCAACAATAAGGTTTTTGGGAAGCGCTTTGCACGACTGCTCCCTGTTCGTCCGCGACGGCTCGTCTTCCTCTTCGCTCGCGCGCTGCGTGCCTTCGTAGACGCCTGCGAAAAGTTTCGACCGAGCAGCCGGTCTTTCCGCCACCTCGGTACGTGTTCAATATGTTGCGCAGTTTGATCTGTTCATGTTATACTGTGTAGTTTACATGTGTAGATCTAATGATGCGTTCATGCTATTTTTCATCTGTAATGTCATGATCTATTTATGGAATAGATTAAATCATTATATGCTTATAATCTCAACAACAGATGCTTAAATAGAAGAGGCTGTATCTCCATTTGTATTGTAATATTTTACAACACTATGATTCTACCAAATTGAAACGATACCGATCCCATCTAATATTTAAATTAGTTTACATAGTATTTTCATACGGTTCTATGGAATCTTAGATATTACATTGATTTCTATGATCTTTATAATCCTACAAAATATTATTAAAAATAATATGAATAAATATGCTTAAGTTTACATAAAACTGATTAATTTTTTTAAAATCAATACTATATACTATAATTTATACACAACACACACACACACACACATATATATATATATATATATATATATATATATATATATATATATATATATATATATATAATATAAAAATAAGTACTTTCTAAAATTTGTTAGTATTCCAATCCTACTTAGCATCTCGATACGGATTACCTTTGGATGGAGTGGAGCCAATTGTCCCTGTGTCACGAAAATTGAATTGACGAAAAATACCCTCCGTGTGAGTGTGACGCACCTTACATCCCAGCACAGAGGGAGGTGGAGAGCACGAATCTCAGCGCATGGCCTGCACCAAACATGATACTACTCGGTGCAGCAGTTAGTGGGCCCGCATTGCCATTGGCTGCAGGGACCAGCGGAGTGGGTAGCAACGACGGACGGCGCAACGTGTGGGCACGCGACACCGCACAGCAAAAAAAAAGGGTAAAATGTCGGGTGCAGGCACAACCCCAAGTAACCACCACTGACCAAAGGGCCCCACGTACCATCCTACCCCACCTGTCAGCGTGCGTACCGGGTACAGAACCCGGTGCAAAAAAGAACAAACCAGGGCCGTTTCACGCTTTACCAGCCTGGCGCGTCGCGTCCGTCCACATGCCCCCGCACTACCCCTCCCCTCCACATGGCGCGCCACACCCACGAGACCACCACGTGCTTGACCACATGGGCCCACCTGTCATTCACTCCAAGATCTCCGGCCCGGGTCACGCGCGCGCGGCCGCATTGATTAATAAGGGGGAGGGGAAAAAAATCTCCCGTGGGCCGCTGCAGGTGGGCTCCACGTTAGCTCCGGGCCCACGTGTCATCGGCTATGTAATAATAATATAATATAATAATAATAATTGCAGTATATAGGGGGGATATAGTCGCGGTCGCGGGGAGCCCTAGGCGAGCGAGGGAGAAAGAGAGAGGCGTTGGTCGGTGGCCGCCCGTCGCTTCTCCTCTTCCGACGCCGGCGCGGCCGAGAGAAATGGCGGTGGCTGCGAGGGCTCCGCTCGGGGTGGTGGCGGTGGTGGCCGTGCTCGTCGTCGGCATCTTCATGCCCGCCGCGGCGCAGGCCCCGGCGCCCGCGCCCGTCAGCGACGGTGAGGATATCGTTGCCCGCCTCTCTCTCTCTCTCTCTCCCTCTCCGAAGCCGCATTGCGCGCCGGAGTTCTCGTCTGCTCCGTAGCCTAGCGCATTCTGGTTCTCTGGCACCGTGCGGCGGCTGACTGGTTCCCTGGTTGTTCCCCAGTTGTTCGTCGATCCACCAAAGGGGAAATTTAATGCCCTCTCGTTAAGAGTAGATTTAATTTTGTTTTTTCGACCTGCGCCTGAAATGTAGTACGCATTAACCTTTTTTTTTTCAGCACCAGCATCTATAGCTTGCGTTAGATCCCTCTTTTTCTAATTTTAGACGTTATTAATAATTCTAGTATAGTAGTATTGGACCGAGCATATATTTAGTGCTATAAATCATTCAAAATCTTCGGCAGATTCGGATCTCTGTTGTGACGTCCTTGAAATTTCCTTTCAATTTCAGTTCCATTTGGCAATTTCTGCAGCGCATTACACGAATTAAATGCTATATGATGCAAATACCATATCTCTGTTGTAGTGAGACGTATACTAGAACGATCTTTTTTTGTTTTGTTTTCCAATTACTAGATGATGTCCAGGAGTAGTTGATCTATTGGGCGTGCTGGATAGATCCACAGTTTACCTTTTTGTTGCAAGTGGAGGCAGGCAGCTTACACTTGCCTGTCATTTTATACTATTATTGGTGGTTCCCGTTCCTGGAGTAGCTTTCAGTTGATATTGGTTGCCGCCCCTTTACACGTCTCTGACTGATGTTACAGTTTGGGTAGCCTGAAAATGACCACAATTTCTATCAAAATGTGCCATCTGTAACAACTGATTAGTGGAGGTGGCAGGTATTACAACTTTACAAGGATGCGCCATTTGTATTACTGAACGCCGCAAATGGCTTATCTTTGTTTAGTTATGACCTTGACATATAATCTGTTTTAACTTCGGTTTATTATTACGAGTCTTGGTAACAAAACTGTAAACAAGAACAACCTGTGACATTTTATAGTATATGCAAGAGACTTAAAGTTCCATTTTCTACTTTTCTAGGCCTCACAGCCAACAATTCTCTATCTTTGTGATCACCTTGTATGATATGCTTGTTATATCTCTCTGTTCGCACGAATTGAATTAAAAAAGCAACGTGGTAACTGTGATATGCCATTTCCTATCAACATAGCTTCACTATTTTTTTTTGTTATGAACCTAGTTGCAATTTGCCACATGCTGTTGGTTTGCTATCTATTCGATAACTTTCTCCATATGCTGTTTTGATTTACCATGACACTGATGTGCATTTTGCTCCTGTAATTGCTTTCCGCAGGCACATCGATCGACCTGGGGATCGCATACATCCTGATGCTGGTGGCTCTTGTGCTCACCTACCTAATCCATCCACTGGATGCTTCTTCTCCCTACAAGCTTTTCTAATCCCTTGTTCTTCCTTCATCTGGCTTGGTTAGGGTAAATTCTACTTATTATTTAGCCATGGCGACGATTGTTAACATTTTAGGTGAGATGTTAGGAGGTTTGGAGTGATTTGTCTGTCCATGATGGGGGTGGTATCAATCAGATCGTTGTTTGGTGGTGCGATTGGCTGTATTGGATTCCATGATTTGGTGCCAAGTTGTGCGTGCTGGATTCGTTCATTTTCTGTTTCTTTTTTAGCTGGCCTGTGACTGGTTGGCATGTGCTCTCTGACGTGCGGTGGTTTTGTCCTTGTGACAACTATTGCGCCTGCTTGCCTGCCTCTCTGTGTGTGTGTTGGTGCTCGTCAGCACTACTGACTCGATGACGGTTTCGGTTTCTCTGTGGGCCGATGCAAATGGTCATTGTTGTTTTTATTCCCACCTTGTCAGTCAAAAAAGTTTCAAACGACTTTCTTCCTGTGAAATAGTAGAGGTAGGCCTTGTTTAGTTCTAAACTTTTTCTTTAAACTTCCAACTTTTCCATCACATCAAAACTTTTCTACATATATAAACTTCCAACTTTTCCATCACATCATTCTAATTTAATCCAAACTTTTAATTTTGGCGTGAAATAAACACTCCCGTAGTAGTAGTAGTAGTAGTAGTAGAGCTGATAAGTATCCCTTCCGGTCATAATAATAATCATTTGATGACAAGATTTGAGCGCTTTGTGTTTTTGGTGACATCTCGGTTTAAAAGGGAGTAAATTTAATTGTGGTAGACCTGATGAACCTCAAATTAAGATGCATGCCGCACGGTATATAATCCGGATTGTGTTAAGACGGACGTAATCCTGTCTGCAACATAAGGGAGAGCAATAAATGTGTTGATGGCTCGAGTTTAGTCATTTTTAACAAGACTTTTGATGTTGCATGGATCCACCGTTGTTTATATCCGATAATTTTAGTGCCTCGAGTAGTGAGTTAAGTTGATATGTGTAGGTAACTTGTGCACGAAAGAGGATGCTTTGGATGATCTGATCTGAAATAGTAAGAAACTACGAAGATGCGTCAAAAACCACGCAGCACCTAAACTGGGTTGGGCCTAATTAGGCTGTACTAAGGGTGTGTTCGGCACCCCTTTTCCCCCTTTTGTCACGTGCATGTTTTTCAAACTGCTAAATTGCGTGTTTTATTTGCAAAAAGTTTCTATATGAAAATTGTTTAAAAAAATTAAATTAATATAGGCAAAATATATAAATAGTAGAATTAATATTTCCTTAATAGAGAACATATGGAAAATGATTTTATTATTTCCGTGCTATAAACACATCTCCATCATCACGCAACAAAGTAAGCCTAGCAATGCTTTAGTTTTCCTTCAAGGCACTAAACGAACGTAAGATCAGGGCATCCAGGAAGTGCCCATGCGTAAAAAGTTGGTAAAAGATTATTTTAACTCTTATCTGGCATAAAAGTTTAGCATTGACACCGCTCAACAATTTAAACCAAGAACGCCAACTTAGATCAGATGCAATGCAATGGTGACACAGCTCAGCAGGTCTTGCACGCTTTAATTCTAGACAAATTGCAGACCGTCTCTCAGGAAAAGAAATTGCGTGTGTCGAATGCATAAAAAAAAAGGTAGACTTCCCCTACAAACAATTCGCGCTAAAATTGATTATTGCTGCTATCCAATCTGAACTATCTATGGAGTATTAGGAGTTAAAATTTGGATATTCGTAGATGAATAATAACCAACCCTGTCTTTCCATTCTGTTCAGTAATAGAATAAAAAATGACAAGAGCCTTATTTTCCCTAAATTCTCTGAAAAAAGAAGAAATTCTACCTCTTTATATAAGATTTAATGAAAATTGAGATGATCACTCCAATCCTTTAGTTATATTCAATCTTGTAATCTTGTATACTTAAATTTCAATCCTGTAACCCTGAACAAAAATAATATATATGCTCCAATAAACATCTTCAATTTCAATCCAGTACATTGCCAAGACAAAGAATAGCAAAAGAATTATAGTGAAAATAGCAGGATTTCTGCACTCCCCTGTGTTATATGCCTGACATATATTGTGGCATTCGATCGTAGCCTAGATCAATCTGTCCTACAGGATAAAAAAAATATCATAATGCAAATAAACAAGAGATGCTAGCCAGTATAGTACTGTTTTGGTGCTGCAAAATTTCCTTGGAGCAAACTGTATCCTGCTGCCTGTTCATGTCCATTGGTACTGCCCTGCAAAATCAATTGGAAGCAAGATCTACTGCAAAAAGGGAAATGTAATTGCAGGAGAACAGAGATTGGCCAACTCACAGCATGGTTTCTTGGTCCTTGATTGGGTACATCATATTATCCTCCATCCTCTGATTGAACCAAAACAAAAATTCCCACTCAAATCTAAGAAACATAACCACATATCAACCCCAAATCAAATGAAGTCCCAAATCCAGCTATACAAGAGCAGCACAAATTTGTTGGATCTGGAGAACTAACATTTAAGGGCATTGTGTTGGTTTTGGAGAAGAAAAAATTCTGGATAATACACGTATGTGCAATTGTAGATATAGCGATAGCACCTAGCCGTGAGGTCCACACTCACCAGGCCGACCACAGCTCCCCCTTTATATGGTCGTACTGTTCTGGTATGCATTTAGCAAAAACATTTTCTGAATTCCTCATAAAACAGAGAAATGTCAATCTCTGGACCGTAGGACCAGAGATGGGGAACCAAATTCACTGCAAATTAAGGAACCATCTGTTTAACTTTTCACATAGATAAAAAGAAAGTAGATAAACTTTATAGAGGTTGTTGAGGAAATATCATAAATAAATCCAAATTAAAGGTCACCATATCTGACAAATTAAAGCTACACTTGACCATAGACAAATTAATTAACCGGGCTTGCTAGAAAAATCTGAGATTGATTTGGTAGCAAACTGCACAAGAGTGCAATGAACGCACGGGCATACAAGCACCTAGAGGAATCGATTTCAGATAGGTTCAGTTGGCATTATAAAACAATATGCAAACACCTGAACAAGCACCTAGAGGAACCAATTTTAAATAATGCATGGTATATATAATACAAGTGCTTCTGACCACCATATTCTAGATAATCATGACACATTGTTCAGAAATGCTTTTGACCACAGTTTTTCAGGTCTCCACTGATTTAAAATTCAGAAATTTATTTTGATGGATTATTAGGAAGGAAAGCAGCAACTACCAAAATTCAGTATAGCATTATAGGATCCAATCAAACAAAGTAAAAATACACAAAACTCAACATGTATAAATTTGACAAAGGATAAACTGACCTTGCAATAAATTAAGAGCACCTCAATTTCATAAACTCCTTTTGTTATCTCATAGCTCATTGTAAGCAGATATTAGGTGCAAAAGATGATACTTACAAATAAGGATCTTGTATTGATCAGTTCAACAACCAAACTTCTATTTATCACTAATCAAAAGTAGGATTGTACTGCATTGATCTGAAAAAATATCCGTCGCATGAGTATAAGGAGGTCAATAGTGCAGATGATGTGTAGCATGACTACAAAGTTTGCCGGAATGACCGAAGGAGGTCATTCAATGTAATTAAGATAGGAAGAAAAAGTTACAAGAAAAATTTTACATCGATAGCTGGCTGTCGAGGAAGGATGTGCACCAGAGCACACGCCCCGAACCATGTGCCAACCGTCCGAACACACACTACAGAGAGGGAAGCCAAGCACCGAACCGGCCATCGCTATGCGAGACCGATCGCCACCGAGCTAACGACACCACTACGACACGAAGACTCTAAAATGACGCCCTCACGAGGGTCGCGACGCCAAAAGACGCCGTCGTCATCTATCCAAAGACTGGACAAGGTTTTCACCCAGAGCTCCTTGCCGAGGGAGGAGGGATACCTCAACAGTGCCCTCAAGAGGGTTACTACGTCCGAAGGCGAAGTCACTGTTGGCCCAAAGAATTGGGCTAAGCTTTCGCTCGGAACCCCCTGCCACCGTGGTACATCACCCAATCCGAATCCACCATCTGAACATCGGCGGCACATGGCTTCCGCCACACCCGACCGACGCCCCTCCGTCGGCCGGCTTCATCGAACCACCATCCCTGAGAGCTGGCCCAGGACCTCTCCGTTCCACCACCCGCCGGCCTCCTCGCCAGATCTGGCCGAAGGAGAATCCGGGATTGGATGGCATTGCTTCAGCAGCCTGAGCTTCCCCCGCTGACGAGCTGCCACCTCAATCCAGCTTAGAAACTCCCCACAGAGAAGGGGAGGAGCTCCAGGAAGGGTGAGGGTGTTGACCGGCAACGAGGAAGACGACCCACCGCCGCCAGCTCCCTTAGCACAACCATCTGGGCCTACGCCGACGCCGGAAACATTGCCGCTCTGGCTCCGGCGCCACCCTCCGGCGCTCCCATTGCCCGGCCACCGCTCCCCACCTGGCCACCACGGCGTAATGCTGGCAGTACTTACAGCTTACTTAGAAAATGAATAGACACATAGACAACCAAATTTGCCTCACATGACTCACCTTTGCCGCACTCAATGTATCAGCTCTGAGTCCTTTTTGTTCATAAGCGAGGAAGGAATCAATAAGGGAGTACTGCAATGTTAAACAAACCAACAGATCAAATCCCTAAGTAAGAATGCACAATTTCTTAATATAGGAAATATATGTTCAAATCCCAAAATGTGAGTCATGTTCTGTACAATCAGTCATCAATTTCAGTAAGGAAACTATATTTCTCATAGGCATATGGACTCGATTATGACATAATTTGACTATAAATGAACAGAATAAACTTGCAGGGATGTGAGCGCATGTTACTTGCATGTAAGGACCTTGTGGATATTGACCTGCATCGATAGTTGGATTGTGCTGCAGTGAACAACAATAAGATGAATTTCATGAGCATAAACGGGAATATAATATTGACCAAATGTAAACCTCACTCTAATAACACAAATGGTCCCATTTATACAAAAGTCTGCTTGTTTTTATACTCACTGTTTGTATTCCGATTTAATATTTCATGCTATCATTATGTCAGGCAATAACAAGCATCCGAACTCATCCAATTGTAGAAGTTATATCATATAGATAGTGCAATTCAGTTTATATTTTATTTATAATGGCCACGATCAAAGGATAACTCATCAGCTGAATGAAATTGTCACAAGAGAAGGTTTCCAATACTCACCTTGGAGAGAGCAGATAGCATGACAATCCTGATGGGGAAGGGATGATTTTGATTTGGAATAAATTTAGCACAATATCTACCTAAATGAAATGAAACCAAATCAACGAGAGAGATTCAAAAGAAAATACCGATGACATCCTAACTGCAGCAACCAAATGCAGTTTGAATGTTTTCACCAGTAAGTTCACAACTCGGGCACTACCATAATGAGCTGGTTTCAACTTTTCACAAAAAAAAGATTCTGAAAAAAAGAAGGCGGGTTCATGAGATATTTGACCATATTTATTCAATAGTTGCCGTCAACAGTGGAACATGCATGACATAAATAAATATACCAGTGGTGCAGGCATTAATTCTCTTAATACTCCAGGTTAATATCATTGGTTCTGAAGCGATCTACCAGTGGTGCATACATTTATTTTCTTAATTCTCAAGGTTAATACCACTGGTCCTTCCTTACCACTTGAGGCTTTGACAATGCCATCAGTCCATATTCTAAAGATGATGAACTACAACACAAAATGGACAGTTCTGTAATTTAAAAGTACCGAACAAAATCTCATTAAGAAATATGTATCTTGAACCAAAACATTCAGACTGAAGCACCTCGTGTATTTCTCCGGGCTAATGATGCCAGGGTTTAACTAACAAAACATAAACCAGAACGGAGATCGTAAATTATTGGCTTTTTCTAAATAGCAACATAATGATATCTTGGGTTTTTTTTCTCACTGAAAACCTTTTGAATCAAGAAGAAGGAACGCCTGCTGGTTTTGAATTGAAAATCCTAAAATGCGTTCTCTAATTACATTAGATCAGACTAAAAACAAAATCATAAACAACACAATCTGCTATCCCTACTGACATGGAAGAAGCACTATACCTTTCATCATCCTCAAAACCTCAAGCTACAACAATCAAAATCGATGAACAACATCAAGAGTAAGGACAAATTAGAGAATCGGAAGGAAGCAGCAGAGGAGTAGAGTAGCAGAGGAGGGAAGCAGAGAAGGGTTAGTCGGGTTCGTCACAATGGAGGAGCAGATGAGGAAAGAATACTCCCTCTGTTTCACAATGTAAGACTTTCTAGCACTGCTAACATTCATATAGATGCTAATAAATCTAGATATTACTATATATATATATATATATATTCATTAGCATATATATGAATGTGGGCAATACTAGAAAGTTACATTGTGAAATGGAGGAAGTACCATTTTATAACACCAAGCCTTCATCACGAGCCAATACACCACTACTCCCTCCGTTCAAAAAAAAAAAAAAAAACTCTATCCTAGGATATCTAGATTCGTTGTCCTACGATAGGTCACGTCGTATCATATCCTATGATATGTCACATTCTATCCTAACTTGGGTTTTTTTTTTTTAACGGAGGGAGTACTTATTGGCGATGCAATAGCCAACGGCTGTGCATGCAGTCAAGACCTGCATATGATGCCATTGAACTGGTGTACGGTCAACTTGTGGTGTAACTCTAAAGGAGAACGTGAGGCTACCTATACTGAGAGGCGGAGGCAGTTTCTGCGCGTCGTGTGAGGCCATGGCTGTCATAAGGAAGATGTGTGGGAGAGAACCCGGGTCCATGGCGAAGATCAGAGCCGGCACAGCCGCCATCGCCAGGGCAGAGCTAGAGCGAAATGGAGGGTGGTGCCATTTGCTTAATTTACTCTACTTTAGATCGAGTTTAAGCTGATGCGGGTGCCTAAGTTTGTATTGAGGGGGGTGCATGCATGGTGAAAATAGGTGAGGTATAGCTAAAAAATTTTCTTGACCGGGTTCCTGGGCACCCCCTATTACATAGTAGCTCCGCCCCTGAATTATTTGCCACCAGCAGAAGCCACCATGAGCAGCGCCACCACCACCAGAAGCAGCAGAAACCGTCGCCATTGAACTCTGGATGCTGAGGGAGCGACCGTGAACTCCGAGACCGAGTTATGTGCTAAACTATATTGACTAAATATGGACAAAACTTGCATCAGTAGGTTTTAAAACTTAAATAAAATCATCTACATGCACCTGAATTCACATGGAGCTGCTGGTAGCAAAAAATAGAAACTCACATTTCCTAATGGCTGACATATATACTTGATCCTAGCATGTTTGACAATTCTCAAGGGTTGAACACAAATTCAGTGACTACAACAGAAATTCAGAACTCATGTGAATCCTCCTGAACTCGGATGCATTTTGATTTTTGAAATGTATTGTCAAATTTAATCATAGCGTTAGCACGGGGAGAACTCATGTGAGTACTCCTGACTAGAGGAAAAAGGAAATGCAGGAGTAATACATTACAAATGTCATCTCTTGAGGTGCTAAACTGTCAGATATTTTTCCAGAACAAAGCAGTATGAACATGATATTGTACTGCCAGATATATAAATTTGAATTCCTCAGATTACCTCATAGCAGCCTAGCATGTAGCCTTAGATTTAATAAATCTCCAATTGCTTCAGCTGGAACCACAAGTTGAAACTAAAATGCAGAAAACAAACAAGTCATTATAAATACCCTTTATTGACATGTTCAGATCCACTACAAAAGAAATTGATGGTGAGACTATACTATATAAAATGTCATCTCACAGATTATATACCATGTGTATATAAATTTGGTGGTGGTATATAAAACTAACTGAGAAATGAATCATATAGAGGTTTGGTGGTGATATCTAAAACTAACTGAGAAATGAATCATCTAGAGGTATAGAACAGAGGCAATTGAGAGCCGTAGATCTTCCTATTATTCCCATGTTGTGACAGTAAATTTTCAGACTTACCTATCTTATATTTTTCAGAAACTTTCAGTGTTAAAATAGATGATGTTGCATCCCTATGTATGCCTATATTTTATATATACATGTCTATTAAGAGAAAAGTTCTGCTGCAGCAGAATATGCATGACAATACTAAAGACCATAAGAGAACATGTAAGTAACCTTAAATTAAATAACCGTGAACAACTGACATGTGTAAGATAGTAGGTGTTGTCTGATTTTAGAGTTAGGTATAGCAATCAAGAGTTTAGGTTTTCACCTAGAGATTATAGCATGTGGGTTCACAAAATCTGAATAACTGGAGCTGTATCCTTAAAGCATCAATCTGGGAACAGAAAAATGCAAAAGAAGAATTCGTCCGGTGAAAACATGTGGGTTTGCAAGTTGAAAAATGGAAAATTCAATACATTGGGGATGCAACACCATCTATTTCAACATCATCTATTGGCCGGCGGAGGGGTTCGATATAGTAGAAGGCATAGGTTACTAAGGAGGTTTCATACATTTAAAATATTCATGTATAGATTTGAAAGAGGTTTGAATTATCAAATGAAAACCGCTGCTCACAACCATCAACTTGAAAGTCCCAACTCCTAAAAACCAAAATCTATAGAATTCAATATTAGTTCGATTGCTAGGTTTCTGAAATTGTAATCTCTACTGTCAGTCAGTCCCAGTCAACAAAGCATCATGTATATAGAAGTGATTCCTTGCATGAGTTGAAGTCAACATGAGCAATGAACAAATATAATTGATCTCTGCATGACTCAGATATTAAGCAAGATAGGGATATTATGGAAGAGTTGAGGACCTTCTTTTTCTGTTATATGAATTTTTCACTAAGACAAAAACTTTTTTGGATACACTATTACTAAACAGTAGGTAAAGAATAGACAAATTAGATGTATCAGAAATAAAAGTTGTAGGAATCACGACCACCATTATGGTCTTTTTTAGTAGTAGAGATAATGATGTGAATGTGTTAATGTTGTAGTTATATCCAAGAAATAATTTCATGTGAGAGGTAACCTCACATCTTTAACCCTCCATCCAAACAAAGGATAGAACCATTCTAGCCCATTATACCCTCAAACCAAACAAAAAAAAATACATGGTTCATTCCATCCCTCCAACCAAACAGAAACTAGGTCCAACCCATCCAAAAAATAGAATGGATCATCTAACCTATCCCACCACATCTCCAAACCAAACACATGCTTAGTGACTATTATATGGAGTAACTAACTAATAATACTAATAAGTAGTACTACTTTCATTTGGTGCCTCATCATCATCAGAAGAGGACTTGTCATCGTCTTCAAGGTCGTCCTCCTCCTCCGTAGTATCGTCGTTGGACACCTCCTCCTCGTCGGACACCTCCTCCGTAGTATCGTCGTTGGACACCTCCTCCTCGTCGTCTCCATTGTCATCGTCGTCCTCCTCAGACTCCTTCTCGCCCTCGCTGAAATCGTCCTCATCATCCCCATCATTGTCACTCTCCTCTTCCTCTGTCACAAGTGTTAGATGGATCTCCCTCCCCTTGAGCCCAACGGCTCAAGGGGGCCTTGACCCGCGCCCTGATCGGGGGCGCCCAGCCCAATGGCTGGTGGGCCCCCGTCACACTGTGCCATATAAAGAGGGGTGGAGGACGGGACGGCATAACGACACAAGGAACGAGGTTCGTCGCCGCCGCCGCCACTCCACCCCATAAACCCTAACCGATCGAGGGGGCGCAGCCAGTGACGGGAAGACTCCACCGCCGCGCCACGACCTCGCCGGGATCCCCTACGACCACCACTGCCGCGCAGCACCGTCGCCGTCACGACCGCCATCGCCGCCGCCGCCCACGTCAAGCAGAGCGACGACAACGACGATGGCTGGGACTTCCTCTTCATCCAACGCGTCAACCGGTCACATCCCTAAACCCTTTCCCTTATTCTCTATTGTTGTTCAATCATCCATCGCAAATAGAACCACCCGACTAGATCTAAACCTAGGTGATCCAATAGACAACCTAACAATGGTATCAGAGCCACCCTAGAGTTTAGATTGGTTGGGGAAAGAAATCCAAAAGAAAGGCAAAGAAAAGCAAACGATCCAACGGATCGAAAAGATCGAAACCCTAACCCTAATCTTACCTCGTCGCCGGCCGTCGTTGACGCCGGCCACGGAGGGGGAGAGGGGCAAAGAGGCACCGCCGAGGAGCCACTCGACAGCCGCGTGCGCACCCGCGGGTGCACGCGCGCGCCGGCGAGGGGGCCCGCGGCGGCGCCACCATCTCCGTCGTCGCCGGTCTCTCACTCTTCACTCGCGTGGAGGGGTGAGACGGTGGGGGGGAGAAGAGAAAAGAATAGAGGGCGTGGCGGCGCGAGGGCGTCGGCCATGGCGCGGCGGCGCGAAGGCTGCCGGCGTCGGCGACGCCGCTCGGCACGGCGCACGCCCGCAAGAGAAAGGAGAGGGCGCCGCGGCACAACCGCTCGACGGCGGCGCACTCACCCTTGAGTGAGTGCGCGCATCAGCGAAGGGGAGTGGGACGGCGCCGCCGTGTCGCCATGCCGCCGCCGGCGCTGTGCTAGGGTTTCGGCGACGGCGACGCCGCTCCGTGCAACCGCAAGAGAAAGAAGAGAAGAGGAGCTAGGGTTTCGGCGCCGGCGGGCGGGGGCGGTTTTGTTTGCCCGATCCGCCCGCGCGACCGTCCGATCGAAACCCTAGCGATCGGACGGCCGACGGCGGCCGGACCGAAATCGGCCCATGTGGGAGCGCACGGCGAGCCACTTTCCCGGCCCAGGCCCAGGTTGCGGCCTGGGGAAAGGGGAGGGGGCGCCCGCCCGCGCGCAAGGCGGCCGTGGGCCGACTGGCAAAGGCCGAAAAAGTTCATTTTAGGTCCCTCGGGGCCGAATCAAAAGAAAGGAAGTTTAATAAAAGTCCCTCGGCCGAAGGAAGCATTTTCAATATGTTTAATGATTGTGTTTATTTCTAAGCAATTTGAACCAACGTGAAAATTGTTTAGAGAATAGATAAATGTGAGAAATGCTTCTGAACATGTATTTTGTATTTTTCATGCAAATTACAATAGAATTTTGAATTGTTTTACATGTTTTATCTCTGTTTAAATTTGAACCAACGGGAGAATTTTACAGAGCGTAAACAACAGAGTTTTGTTACAATTTATATGAATTGTATATAGATCTTCCGCTGCAAATAGATGAAATTGATGAAAATTAGTGTTTCTAAAATTAAATTTCGAACCAACAGGAGATTTTAATTTTAGGAACATTAATTATGTGCTATGATGTTGTAATTTTTCTGACCAATGTTGATAATTGCAATGTTATAGTTATGGCTTTATGTGTTATGTCTATTTTCTGCCCAACGGTGATGTAGACTTAATACATAATAATTTTAATGTTAATTTTGTTCTCACAATACATGATTATCTTAGGTGGCTACTCCTTGATGGGTTACATTAAAGATATTCCGACCCTGAAAGGAGATAACTACGAAGAATGGAAAAGAGAACTCGACCTTGCTTTTATCTTGGGAGAGGTGGACTGGGTGTTGACTACCCCATGTCCTATAGAACCTGCTGAAATTTTCAGAGGTGAAAAAGAGTCAGATGCTGAATGGCAAAAGAGAGAGAGGGACAATGCTTCCCTCATCATGTCGTATGACATTGAGCATGCGAAATGGTCTTCAGCCAACAAGAATTGTTTGGCTGCGGTAAAGAACACGATTGAGCCAACCATATTGGGCTCAATCCCAGAGTATGACACTGTCTCTAAGTACCTCGAAAGTATAAAGAGCCAGTTTAGTGGTTCTTCAAAGTTTTATGCGACACAGCTGATAAAGCAGCTTGTTACAGAGAGGTACCATGGAGGTGGTGTAAAAGACCACATTCTTAGGATGAGCAATATGGCTTCCAAATTGAAGCAAAAAGATTTGGGCATCTCAGATGACTTTCTGGTCCATCTGGTTTTGTCCTCATTGCCAAAGAACTTTGACAACCTTGTTGTCAACTACAAAATAAGTACAGAGAATTGGAATATTGAAGAGCTCATCTCTAATTGTGTGCAAGAGGAGGAAAGACACAAAGAGACCAATGGTGACTCCATTAACCTTGTCAAAGATAACAAGGAAAAGAGCCACAGGTCACCCTCCTCAAAAGAAAAACAGCCTCAGCATCTGCCTCAGAAGCAACAGTTTACAGTTGAGACAAGATCAGTGTCTACATTGCAAGAAAAGACATTCCAAGAAAGATCATCCTGACTTCCTGACAGTGATCATGGCAAAGAAAGGTGAGAACATTATTACATTTGTAAAGAATCTCATTATGATTGGTTATTCTAGATCCACATGGTGGATTGATTCTGGAGCAACTATTCATGTGTGTAATTGTTTAAAGGGATTCCGTTCAATGAGGACTATGCAAAGAAGTGAAAGATCCATTAGAGTTGCCAATGGAGTTGAAGCAAAAGTTGAGGCTGGAGATCTTCGCCTAGAACTCGCGAATGGCTTCACACTTTTACTTCCAGACGTTTTTATGTTCCTTCTTTGCAAAGAAACTTGATAATAAGTGTATCCAAATTGGATTTTGATAGATATGATTGCCATTTTGGAAATGGCAAATGTGAACTATGGTATAATAATGAATGTATTGGTCTTGTGTTGCAAGATCAGCTTTATTTCTTTCTGAGAATGTGAATGTTGTGTCCTCGTTGACAAAAGAAAAGAAAGCGAACTTCTGATGTCTCATCGAAATTATGGCACTGTTGTTTATGCCATATTTCGAGGGGGAGAATTGAGAGACTGGTTAAGAATGTAGTTCTTCCTCCATTGGAGTTCTCAGTTTTAGAACAATGCATACAATGCATAGAATGCATCGGTGCCCAAAACACCGTATGAGCTATGGATCCTCCGTGTGTGGGGGAGTCCTGCAAAGGATAAAGTATTTAACCCAAAACAGTAAGCTGCCATTTTATTGGCTATTCTAAAAGATCAAAGGGTCATCGTTTCTACTGTCCAAACAGTTATACAAAGTTTGTAGAAACGGGACACGTCGTCTTCTTGGAAGACGAAATGATTAGGGGGAGCTCGGTAATTCGAGAAATTGATCTTGAGGAGAGGCGGGTGTCTGTACCCGCTCCGTCGACTCAGGAACCTTTCTTCTCTCTACCTGCTAATGTTGTGCCAGCAATGCATGCCGTTGCGGTACCAACACCTGTTGTTATCTCTCCTGTGGCAACAATGAATGAAAGTGAGGAACCTGTTCTACAGGATTCAACAGAAATTATTGCCACATCAGAGGAGGAGATGAAACAGCCTCAAACAGATAATGTGCCAGAATAGGAGGCCCCTAGAAGGCCTGAAAGAGTCGCATATGGAGGATGATCCCATCTCATATGAAGAGGCCATGAGAAGCCATGAAAGATGAAATGAAATCAATGAAATTAAATGATGTCTGGGATTTAGAAGAAATTCCTAAATGAGCCAAAACAGTAGGCTGTAAATGGGTCTACAAAACCAAATATGACTCTAGAGGGAATATAGAAAAGTTTAAAGTGCGACTCGTGGCAAAAGGCTTCATGCAACGAGAAGGGATTGATTACAATGAGACATTTTCTCCAGTCTCTTGTAAAGATTCCTTCAGGATTATAATGGCACTAGTGGCACATTATGATTTGGAATTACATCAGATGGATGTAAAAACGGCATTTCTAAATGGAGATTTGGAGGAAAAAGTATACATGGCGCAACCGAAAGGTTTTGTCATGAAAGGAAACGAAAATATGGGATGCCGTATAAAGAGATCCATTTATGGGTTAAAGCGAAGCTTCGAGACAATGCTACTTGAAGTTTGATGGAACAATAAAGAAATTTGGGTTTTCAAGAGAATGTAGAGGACAACTGTATTGATTCAAAGTTAAGAATGGGAGACTCATTTTCCTAATTCTGTATGTAGATGACGTTCTACTGGCTAGTAGTGATGTCAATCTACTGCAGGAAATAAAGAAATTCTTGTCCTCAAACTTTGACATGAAAGACCTCGGTGAGGCTTCATATGTTTTGGGCATAGAGATTCACCGAAATAGAACAAAGTATGCATTGGGATTTTCTCAAAAGGCATATATATAGAAAAGGTGTTGAAGAAATTCAATATGTACAGATGCAGTGTTACACCTGCTCCTATAGTCAAAGGCGAAAAGTATGGGGCATCGCAATGTCCCAGAAATCAGTATGAGCTCAATAAAATGAAAACAAAGCCATATGCGTCAGCTGTAGGAAGCCTACAGTACGCGCAAGTGTGCACACGACCTGACTTGGCATTTGTTACCGGGTTATTTGGCAGATTTCAAAGTAATCCAGGCCCAGTGCACTGGAAATTGGTAAAGAAAGTCTTGCGTGTTTGCAAGGAACAAAAGGCCTCATGATGTCTTACAGAAAAGCAGAATCGCTCTAGATAGTGGGGTATTCGGATTCTGACTTTGCAAAAGATAATACAAAGTTAACATCGGGATACATGTTTACCCTGGCAGCAGGAGCTATTTCATGGAAAAGCTCAAAACAGACTACCACTGCAGGGTCTACCATGTATGCCGAGTTTATAGCATGCCATGAGGCTACGGG